AGAGATCTCTTTGAGATCTACGCGATTTTCGCTCTCCTTTTTACCCTGAGACGGGCTTTTAGGTCTGGATAGCCATGATCAGAGCTTGGACAATATCAAGTGCACCTTTGAGAGGAGACTGCATGAGCAATCGAGTCTGGTGGAGACGTCCTTGAAACGTATCCGGGAAATGGGGCTTTTGGTGAGCAAGACGGAACGGGAGTGCGCCGCGCGCAAAGAGTCCGAGAGTCGCCTAGAGAAGGAGCTGGGAGCTGTGAAACAAAACTTGCAAGACAAAGAGACATTGGTAGAGAATATGAGACAGGAGTTCGAGAGAAATACGAGCGCGTTGAACGAGGAGCTGCAAAAATCGAAGGAAACGATCGAAACGATGAAGACGGAGAGCTTAAGCGAGAAGGATTCGCTGCTGTCAGAGTATCGACGGACGATCGAGGAGAGAGACCGGTTGATCAAGGAAAAGACCGAGGAGCTGGAGTCCAAGTCCAAGAGGCTATTGGAGCAGCAAACTGCGGCTCTGGAGGGCTTGAAGGCCGAAAATGTTAACCGTATCCGTGAACTTTCCGAGTCCTTCGAACAGCAGTTGCGAGCGAAGGACACGAAAATCGAGGAGTTCACGCAGCAGCTCGGGCAAAAAGTGTCCGAGACCGAGAGACTGTTGGCTGAATTGGCCGCTGAGCGAGAGCTCTGCAAGAAGAAGGACGAAGAGCTTCTTAACGCTCTACGAAAATTGGAAGGTTTGTCTCATAAAAATGAAAATCGAAAAATTTGACTAAGAAAATTCGGATAATTGAGAAATTTAATCGCCGATTATGCGCTGACGTAGAGTATCGATTGGCATTCAACGAGAATAGCTTTCGATGGAATATTTTTATTAATCTAGCATTTAATTTATTACGCAAGTGATTTTTGTGTTCTGAATATAAAATGATAAATGATAAATCGGCAAAACGGAGTCTCATTGATTTTGTCGTGGATTCTTTGCAGAATTAAGTACGAGGCTCAAATTAGCCGAAGACAACAACAGTGTTTTGTCGAAACAAATTGAAGACTACAGGGCCAAGAATGACGACAACGTTAGAATTATTCAAGAGAAACAAAAGTTGGCAAGTATTTGTTTTTATCTCGTACGAATGTAGCGTTTGAAATTTTATCTTCACGTTACATAATCAATCCAGGAACAAAATCTAGCTAGTTTAATTGCTTCGGAAGAGGAATCCACCGCGCGGTTAAACAAATTGAGCGAAGAACTGAAAGTGAAGGATAAAGAGCTCGAGGAGCTGCGAAATGCTACTTTGACTCAAATGGAAGAAATGACTAAACGTTTCGAGGCCCAAATTATTGACAAAACCAAATATATCGACGAGATAAACGCAGATGTCGCACAAAAAGCCTTGATGCTCGTTAAATTGGAGAAAGATATCGCAGATTTGAAGGCGATTATAGCGAGCAAAGATGAAGAGATTAAACATCTTCTCGAGAAGACTTCAGGTATGGACATTGAATGGAAGATCGATATGAAGATCGCTCTGTTCTCAGGCTGAATTTATAAAATTAATTACACACGCATTGACATAAATGTAATATGGTTTATTTTAAATCTTTTGTAGAATTGCAAGACGCCTTCACGTTATCCGAGCAAACGAAAACAAATTTGGAGAGTGAACTTCGCGTATTTGAGTCGAATGTGCAGAAATTAAATCAACAAATTACAAGGGCGGAAGAAAAAGTATCACAACTGTCGTTACAGAAGGAAAAACTGGTCGGTATAGAATAATTAATTATTAATTCATTGGATTAATGATCTGAACTTAATTGCAGGAGTCTGATATAGCGAGCGCGATAAGCACTTCCGCCGACTCGTCGGAACAACTGTCGAGATACAACGAGGATTTGCGAAGAAAGGAGAAGGAATTGGACGAGGCTCGCGAGAAGATTTTTCAAACGGAAGCCACACTGAAGCAAACGGAGGGAAAACTGTCCAATACCGAGACTGAATTGAACAAGAACGTAACGTTAGTCGAGCAACTGCGCTCAGAGAAATCCAACTTGGAGTCGCAAATGGGCGAAGCTAAAAAATCAAATGCAGATAATATCAAAAAGATACGCGAATACGAACAAGAAAAGAGCGAATTATCGGCAAAGGTGGAAGAAGCTGAACGCGCAAAGAGCAATTTGAAAGAGATTTCTGGCGAAATCACCAATCTTGCGGAGCAATTAAAGAAGAAGGACGAAGAAATTGTTAATCTTCGTGGAGAACGCGAAATCTTGCAGAATTCTCGCCAAGAAGAGACATCCTTGCTACAGAAAAAAATTACGGATTTGTCGACCAATTTGTCGACTTCGCGCGATGAGATAAAAAATCTGGAAAAGTGCAAGAACAAACTGGAGGCCGATCAGAGCGCGAATCGCTGGTCGATCGAAGAATTGACGGAAAAATTGAAATCCGAATCGGACAAAGCGTCGAAATTGGAGAACTCGATTCAGGAGAAGGATTCGAAACTTCAGGATGCGGAAAATAAGTTGTCGGAAATACAGAAATTGCATGACGTCTTAGTTAACGATAAAGCAACTGCTGATAAGAATTTAGCAGTGTCTTTAAACACCATGACCAGCACGGTGGAAGAGTTGAGGAACAAGTTGAAGGACGCCGAAGGAACGATTAAAGATAAGATGGACGAAGTATCAAAGATGAGAATAGAGGTGGAAAAATCACAGACTCAAGTAGCCGAATTGAATGCTGCAATGTCTTCCATGAAAGAAGAGCATACTCGTAATAGCAATGAACTGAATAACGCACAAGAGGCAATCGCACAGAAACAAAGCAAAATAAATGAATTGTCCGAGGTCAAGACTGTTCTGGAGAATTCAGTGAAGTCATTGGAAATCCAGTTATCGAATTTGCGCGAAGAATCGGAGAAAAGAGAGAAATTGCGGACAGACGCGGAAGTTAAGGTAAAAGAATCGGAAACTTCTAAGGAGGAAGAAATACTGAAGCTGCGGAATTCCTTGGAGTGCGAAGTTGCGGCCAAGCAGAGGAAGATTGACGACGTAAATGAACAAAATAAAGAGTTGGAGGACAAGTTGCGATTGTCGCAAGATGCTGTCGATAAGCACAAAATCGATTTAGATGGTAAAGAAGCTATTATTCATAAATTAAAGGCGCAAGTGAAGACCCTGGAGGACGCGCAAGTGGAGAGAGTCAAGGCAGAACAGCAGTTGCGGAATGAGGAAATTAAACAGAAACAGAATGAGCTGAGCGGCGCGAACAAGCGAATCCACGAGCTGCAGCATGCAGTGAACACGCTCGAGAAACAGTTAACAGAACAGGAAACGAAATCAGCCGATCTGGCGAGAACCATGGAAAATAATGAGAAAGAGGTGAACAAGAACATGCAAAACCTGCAGGAAAAGCTGAACGTCGCTAAAGTGGAAGAGACGCGACTTCTGGACGAGCTGAGTAGGCTGGAGAAAGAGAACAAGCAAATCACCGGGAAATGCATGGAGGCGACGAATCAGTTGAAGCTGTCGCACGAAAACCTGAAGAATACCTACGACGGAACGGGCGACACGAAACAGCACATTGTCGCGAAGGATAACGACGTCGCGAAGTTACAAGAGGAGAACGACACCGCGAAGAGCCAAATAGACTTCCTGAACTCCGTGATAGTAGATATGCAACGTAAGAACGAAAGTTTGCTGTGTAAGATCGAGGTTCTCGAGATGGGGATCCCCGCGAACGAGGCCGAGGATTACACTCGGAACACGCTGGACAAGCGAGCAGCGGCGCCCCGTATGTTCTGTGATATTTGCGATCAGTTCGATCTGCACGAAACGGAAGACTGTCCCCGACAGGCCCAAGATTTCACGGAGAGTACCGAAAGAGCGACGAAGACCACGCAGAAGAAGCAATCCGTAGAGAGACCGTACTGCGAAAATTGTGAGATGTTCGGACACGACACGCGCGACTGCGACGACGCCGAGATGTTTTAACGTTACGTCCGTAGCTTTATTCCGTTTGCTTGCCAAGTGCGTCCCGTAGCTGTAAAAAGATCTGTTAAATTTTACAGAGTATATTTTTGTATGCCAGATTTTTCAATTGCGTCCTAAATCCGGGGCATGAGTCTTCCCACGTAGAACGGACACCCGAGAAGAAAGTAAAAATTTATGTTCCCTCCAAATCGCAATTTAATCACGCCACCCTCTACAAAAGTTTCGGCAACATGTATAATCATTTTTATTCTCTCTTTGGCTATAGCAGATTTATTAATTTATTTTTATCACCCTGAAATATTGACACAATATAAATTTAATTTATAAATTATATTATAATAGTAATTTTTATTAGATAATTATAGAATTATTGAATATAATTAATTAATTAATTATATTTAAGCATTATTTTATTTCATCGGAATTTAAAAGATGGAAAAGTATCGATACTACCGATATTCAGTTAAAGATAATAATTTATTTACAGGTGTATTTGAAGGGAATATACATTTGTGTTTTCCAGCTTTAATATCTATTTTATAACATTTGTGGCGAGTTATATGTAATTTTGTATATAATAGGTACTAAAATTTACCAGTTACTCCTTTATTTATTATTTATTTTCCGCGTTTGCGCGCCTTAAGAAGATAGTTCCTGCAGTGCACGCCGGTGAAAAGCGGAATATTGGACGTGAAGTTTCTTCGATAATTAATTCACACCTCTCTTTGAACATAATATATTCTCACAATACTCTCCGCTAAACGATCCTTTATAGTCTTCGTATAATATGAGGAAAACAGGAAGAAAAGATTTGGAACATATAATAAGTCTCGAACACTTTTGAAGCTGATTTATGAAAATATCGTGGCCTGCTGTTATCTTGCCTTCCGTTATGAATCTTAGGGTTGAAATATATTTTCTATTGTCGATTATATTGTTGTAACATGTGATGCATTGGAGATAATGCTTTGTAGATAAGAATAAAACAAAATGTTTATGTGAATTAATGACTGTAGGTGCATTCTTCATCTACCATGCAGTGTCCTTTCTCCATTACTGATGTAAGTGTAAAGTTTAAGAGAGATACAACATACATATACTTTAACGGAAATTTGGAGCTTGACTTCAATTAAATTTTATTATTGTCATTATTTTATATATTGTCATTATTTTATTGCCATACTAAATATTTTTTATAGATATCTAATGATCCAATACATATTCGCTATTATTAATAATGACCTGTTTCCAACACAGTTTAACGATTTCTTCTTTACAGAAGTTAATCGGCTTAAAAGAGAGATTCAACACATTTTCAACTCGTCGTTAAAGTTTCTTTTATTCAATTTAAATTGAAAATTTCAGAAAATGCAGTTGTGGTTTGGATAAAGCAATTTAAATTTAATATTTTACTTGTTTATTTACATGTTTAATGATCAGGAAACGTCAGATCCGTATCTTTCGTATTATCAGCGATCCACTTGCTGAATTTCTTTTCGATTTCTGTAGTGAACGTTTCTTTCCAACTGCCTATCTTTCCTTGTCGGACAAATGCTTCAGGTTTCATCTTAGAATCGACAGACGTCTGGTTTACCATATCATTTTTGCGGAAATTTTCTATCTTTAAATGCTCCTCCAACTTGGCAACTTGTTCATCGCTGTAAGTCTTGCCGAGGAATGCGGACACCTTCTTGATGGTTTCAGGTAAATCCTACGCAAAATAAAATGGAAATTGTTTCTAAGAATTATAATTTGTCGTTTAAATTCAATGTTTTATGATATATGTTTCATACTTTTTACAACTTTATTTAAAGAGATAGGCAAAAATCTTTGGGACATTGTATAGTATTAGAATTCTCCTCGATTTACCTTTATCAAATCCTCGTAGAAGAGAAATAACATGTTTGCTCTGTGTCTCATGGTCCAAGCTTCTTTTATGTGCTCCCAATATGGTTCATAAATTGCTATAAATTTATAGGAAAAATAAGCAAGGTTTCAGTGCAGAAGCAAAACTTAATGCGAAGAGAGAAAACTAAATTAGAAAGCTAATTAAAAATATTAGGAAACTTACTATGATTACTTATGAATTGATCACAGAATTGTTCGAAAGTTCCCTGATACTGGTAGATTTTCGTATTTTCCTTTAGGAAGTGGTACCATGAGATTATCACGTCTCTTGGATTTCTCGCGACATAAATAATCTGAAAGGAACTAATTTTTGAAAAATGTCTATCTGGATTGTTTTGTTATATTCTAGTAATTCTGACTATTACATATTGAGAGAGAGAGATTGGAAATTTTTTGCAAGATATATAATTTCACAAATGTTTTTTAATCTAGGTATGATACTTTTTCATTTTTTTTATTTTCATAAATTTAGCCTATTTAAATATGTTTTATTTAAGAAGTGCACGATTATCAGCTTACCTTGCAATTGCTCTTTACGACCGTCGGCAACAGATCAAAGGGTATATGGCTCTTGATAAAACGTGGTGGAAGCTGATTTTGCACGAGATCAATGTATCTCTCGTTTTGCACGCTGGAGTTACATGAATCCTTGATTGCGCACATATGATCATCTATTATTGCACCTAAACTAAATATAAATCTTATGTATGGTTATTCTTGATTCGTGAAATAACGGAATTTTACTTACTGTTATTATTTCACATAAGAAAATAAATTCGCATTCTTTAAACTTTTTATATTCGAAATATAATCAAAATCTGATGAAGTACCTTTGAAATAAAAGTAAACTAGCACAAAATGGACATTTCGAATTTAATGTTCGATGCAAATATTTATCTAAATCTACATATATAAGAATTTATTTTCAATTATGTTGAATAATTTGAAAATGTTTTATCATTATTATAGGTTTTCGTAAATATCAGATGAGAAAAAGAAAATAATACTGTACTCTATAAAGGGAAATCTGTCTCTTAGAGGTCTTCGAAGCGCTTCTTCAAAATTCATGTTGTTTGCCACCAACCATACAAGTTCCTGCGTCACAGTCGTACCTAATTAGCACGGCGCATAAATTTTGTATTTTATATTTCATTTATGTTCGCCTACAATTTTAACAACAAGTATTTATTTAAAGTTTCAACGACATAAAAATGAAACTTTTCGAAATATTCAATTTTTTATGTTTCGAAATCAGTGCATTCTTAAAGACTTTATAATTTAAGAAAAATAAATAAATAATTTATCATAAAAGTCTATCTATTAAAGGTGTATATATTTACACATACGTCAGTAAATTTACTCTTTGTAAGTATAATATAATTGCGTAAACGTGGTTGTTAGCGGTTGTACAGTGTTGTAAAACACAGTTTTAAACTAGCATTTCCTATTGTAAAGCCTGTTTTAAAAGATGGCTGAACTTGATCTTTCACAACTACAACGATGTACGACGTAAGAGCTAACCAATCAGAATAAATTACTAAAGTGTACTCTGATTGGTTATCATTTAAATGGTACATGATAACCTTAAGATGTAATGATAAGCTTAAAATTGAAGAGGGTCCAAATCCAGGACCGAAACGTCGTTTTTATATTAAATAAAGGCATTGGCCAGTGTAGGTCGTTTTCTGAAAAATACTCATCATGGTTATCATTTACTTCAATTACGACGTATCTTACTCTATTGTATATTACTTTGTTGTACAACACTTATTACCACTTTTACTCCTACAACCCTACAACTACGTTTACGCAATTGTAGAATGGCCTTTACAAGTTAAGTTTTATTTTAAAAAATAAGAAAGTAAAAATTACGAAAGCATCAGCTCGTAACGTTACGAAATTGAAATGACTTACCTGATCTAGGATAGGTAACGACCCACGTATCATCAGGATGAATTTCAAAATTATATATTTTGTGGCCGATCTCAACATATTTGTATGGCAGGAACCATTTCTTCTCACCGATCTTAACGTAACCGCGTTTTTGAGGCGGATACAACTTTAATAATGCACCTCCCAGCTCACCCTCCACCTGTTCCACTTTCAAATCTTTGAAGGACATCGTTCTTCGAACAATTTTTCCCCATCAAAAGTTAACTAACATTCCTTGAATCTCCGTCGTACCTTACAATGTGTTCCACATTTATTGCCGAATTGAAAAAGTTCTGTCTTCATTGGGAATATATCTATATGTATTGATAACCACTTGAACAAACATTCATGATCACGCTATACGTGGTCAAGCGAGGTTAAATATAAAAAAATATTTGCAGGATGACGCAAGGCCATAATATTACATTGAACTCAATTGCACATGTGAAACAAGTATTTATAAGTATTTATAAGAGGACGCGCAAAAATGTCGATATATTTAGCATAATAGAACAAATTTATAATGAAAAATATAATTTATAAAAATATTATAGATTATATAAATTGTGTGTGCTTGCAAGGTTTGATCTCAACAAGGTTTGATCTCAACAAGGTTTGATAAAGATAAAAATAAGCTTTATAGTTCTTGTCTTGGAAAGCTTGTATCAGCAATTCTGTTTATTTAAAACGTGCCTAGATACAACTTTCGTAAATTGCAACCACAATTGTTTTCATCGTGACAAACTTGGAAAAACCAAGTCCGTGTCTTTTAAATTGTCAGCGATCCACCGGCTAAATCTCTCCTCGATTTCCGACGTGAACAGTTTTTTCCAACCATCCGTTGCTCCTTGTCGAATAAATAATTCCGGTTGCATGACGGTGTCAGGACTCGGCTGATTCACCATCAGATTCTTGCGGAAGTTCTCTATTCTTAAATGCTCCACTAACTTGGCGATCTGCTCATCGCTGTAAGTCTTGCCGAAGAATACAGCGATTTTCCTTATGTTTACGGTTAAATCCTGTGCAAAATAGTTGAAAACGTTAAGTGTAGAATAGTAGTATTTTTTAAATATAGGAATGTGGTAATTTTCATTATTCGCTATATTTCCATTATAGAATCTGAATGATATAATCGAGGTTTATTCAAAGGATCTAAGTTCAAGTAATGAAATGTTACTGATATTAATATTTGAAATTTCACAAATTGTTGAAAATTGTAATCATTTATTTCCCCCCTGTCTTGTTCAGAAATTGACATATTGTTGCGATTGAAAAATTGTTTTCTTTTACACGAATTGGAATAAAGTAGAATTTCTTTCGATCTCACCTTTATCAGATCTTCGTAGAAGAGGAACATCATATTTGCTCTGTGTCTCATCGCCCAAGCTTCCTTTACATGCTCCCAATACGGACTCCATAGTGCTGAAATAGCGGAGGATCAAGCTTTTTTTTGAACGGTAACTGAGAAAAAATTAATTCAGCTGGAAAGACCAATCACTATTTGGCAAATCTTACTGTGGTCATTCATGAAATTATCACAGAACTGTTCGAAAGTTCCCTGATACTGAAAATGATCCAAAGTTTTCTGGAAATAATACCACGAAACCACCACGTCTCTTGGATTTCTTGCGACGTAGATAATCTATAAACAAAAAGAACGTCACTGAACGGTATTTTGCGTTGTCGTTTTTTAATGTATCTCTTTGACGCGTGAATTGAAATAGAAACGATTAATTTTTTAATACCATTTAAATTGGTTAAATGCAACAACTAGAATACACAAATGCCAAATGCTTTGACGAGTTAAAATTGAAAACCTTGAAGGAACTATTGTTTGCGTTAATTAATTTTCTTCTCAGTATTTTTATCATATCTTTTTTCATTTTTATATACATAGATTCTGTACTCCGCTTATGAAATGCAAACGCACCTTGCAAGTACTATTTACGACTGTCGGCAACAGTTCGAAAGGCATGTGACTTTTGATGAAACGCGGCGACGATTGACTTTGCACGAATTTGACGCTGTATTTTTCCGTATTAATCCTACCAGAGACATCTTTCGTTGCGATATGATCGTCTAATATTGCTCCTATCCTAAAAGAAAAAGAAAATTGACAGCGGAAAGTTTAAAAAGAAATTTGAAAAATAAAAACTACAATTCATGATTATTACTTCATGTAAGAGAAAAGTAGAAAAATAATTCAGGTTTTTATTTTTAAATTAAATTTGAAATGTTCTTGTGTAAAAATATTATATTTATGTTATACTCTACTCTACGAAGGGAAATCTCTCTAATAAGTATCTCCGATGTGCCTCGTCGAAATTCATGTCGTTCGCCACCAACCATACAAGTTCCTGCGTCACCGTCGTACCTAATCCACACAATACGTAAATTTAATTAACATATCTAATAATAACACAAAATTGCAAAATTTTCTTTTCAGAAGATCGTCTAATTGTAAGTCTAGAAGCCCTGTGAATATCTACTTCCGAATAATTAAGCTTCAAAGTTCAAATGTTGGAAACAATTTACCTGATCTAGGATATGTGATGATCCACGTGTCATCCGGGCGAATTTCGAAATTGTATATATTGTTGCCTTCTTCGACATATTTATACGGCAAGAACCACTTTCTCTCACCGATTTTAACGAAACCACGTTTGTGAAGTGGATACCATTTTGATAATACGGTCGCCAGCTCACCCTTGACTTGTTCCACTTTTAGATCCTTGAACGACATGTTCGTTAACTGTCTCCTCGTTGTTTAAAATTTCGCTCGAGTGTCTTTACGGACTGCACACCAATTACAGAACGCAAAACTTTTTCCACTCTACTGATAATCACGTAATGGGCTTACACACATAACAAAAACATACATATATATCTATATAAAGATATAAATAACACATTTGATTGTAGGTGCATACTCGGAAACTTAATGTCGTTATCATTTGTTGATTAGCTCAGTACATCGATAAATATTTCAGTGTGATATAAAATGCATTTTTGTGTTGAATGAACTTTAAGATAAGGTTACGAGAGATCTTTCACTGGAGTGCGGAAAATCGAGATGGCAATGATAAATACGAGGATATGCAATACAACTGCTAAATGCTTGCCCATATGCACTTACGTCGTAATTATAACATCTGTAACATTCCTTTGATGTGACGGCGAAATACCGACAATAGGACAAGTCCGCTGCGTAACATTTTAGTAAATTTTATGTACGCAACATCATTACCTATCTTGTCCACATTATTATAACAGAGATACATAAGAATATGATGACGTTACAGAATTACGTTGTAAGACTGTACCCACTTATAGTTATTGCAATATGTAATATTACTGCAATATTAAAATATTACTGATATATATTATTACGTAATATTATGTGCTATGTGGGGGATATTACGTCGCACATAGCTTGGGATATTCCGTTTCTAATTATTCCTTATCATAATTACAAATGTGCAATTTTGTATGAATTACCATATCTAATCATACAACTGTATGCTCCTCCTTTTTCTTACTTATCTTGCCAGTTAAAAGCTATTGCAAACGATCCGCCAATATTGTATTAATTCTACGTAATTTCCTCGTCCAAAGTTTCTTTTACCAAAAACTATATTTTGTAACTAATACGTCGGGAGTACTACTTTTTCACCCGCTGATGAAGTACTCGCCAATATGTCACTGCCTACGATCTCATTAGTTTTCGTACTGCTCGGCCTTTTCAGTGTGATAGCGGCTGCGAACGACACGGTAAACGCATATTTTCTCACTTTTAGAATTGAGTATTAGAATCTTCATCCTTTCGATCTATCCGGTTTCTATTCCGGTTTCCAATATAGGCACGTTGAAAGTGATTTAACAATAAAACGCCATCCCTCGAAAGCAAAAGCTAAACTTTACACAGAACTATACTTACTATTGAAACCTTCTATAGAACCTTTGTATTTCTATACCGAACTGGACATGATACTCTTTCGCGTATCTCATTCTTTAAGTAATCATATCGTTCAAGATTATATTAAACGAGGTGTTTTATAGTTTAAATCATTTGTTGCTAATTTTGAACATTATTTATTCCAGAATATGGTATGTACTTTCACTGGCGATTTTTGTTACAGTCATCGAGTTATAAAAGGAATATTTTGACGAATGTCGGTTTGTAGGACTTTTTTAATTAATTTTCCAGAAATATTCTTAAGATATACATATTATCGGTCATGCTTCAATTAAAAAAATAGTATTTCTTTGTGAAGTTTGTTCGGTTTTCTTTGAAAGTAAAGGCGATACTTAGAATTTTGTTTTCTAAAGAGTTTTAAGGTCATAAAAATATTATTTGAAAGCGAAGTATTAATTACTTTTTAACTTACTTCGCGTCTTCAATTTTATAAAAATCGTACTTTAAATAGAAATGAAAAACTTATTTAAAATTATAAACTGTCATAATCTTCGGAAACTCTAAAATGTTTAGATATTTGAAATAATAATGTCCCAATCGCCAATGTAGTGGCCTAGGTTTTCTGTTGTAAACGTTTCCTAAAACCAAAGGAAGCTCCCACAATTTCTCGGAGTCTTAAAATTTTAATTATTTGTTTTAAACTTTTGGAGAATAGAAATAATTTTACCAAGAATAGATGTATCAATGTAATGTTTATTAGTGCTATACGTATTTACCTTTACTTTTAGATAATAAAAAAATAAAAATACAGTTTTCATAAATATCGCGTTTCACCTGAGGCGCTCTAATATTTATCGCAAAGATGTTTCGGGCTATTTCAATAAAACATAACTAATACACATCGTGCAACTGTTCAGATCATTTATTATTACTTACTGTTATTATAGAATATGATTTTATGTATTTTTTGCAGCGTCAATGCTGTAATATCAAATTTTGTACAGATATCGACATTTAGTGAACTTATTACTTATTGTTAATATGATATTTACTGGATTCTTTACAACACATCCATGACTATTTACATATAAATATTCTTTTATTATAATTATGATATATGTTATAGGCAAATCTTGTATCTTCGGTGTTGAATTCGTGTCTATAGTTTTGTTCACGAGGTAATACGCGCACGGATACGTGCACGAGTATCCATGCATTGTTAATTAATTTTTAGCACTACACTAGCGTTTGCATTTCTTACAGTAATAATGTTCCTGAGGGTCAAGTTGTCAAGATAATCGAATCCTGCGATCTTTTTGATCCGTTGAATCCAGTCATCTTTGTGACCCATGGATTTATTGCAAGTGCAGACACGTTTAACACTTCTATATTTGTTAAACCATTAATAGAGGTACATTTCTTGTACGCAGAATTAAAATTAAGACACAGTATTTTTCTCTGTAATCTCAAAACCTAATCACCATACCAACAAGTAATACA